CTCTCTCTAGCGTTCTCCCCTCACTTTCCACCCGTTATGGTCTATTTATAGGCCATGACGTTTATTGCAGTTAACCAATTACATTGGGCCTATATTCGAAAGCTCTCTTCCTTCTGGGCTGGGTCTTGCAATGGGCTTGACCTTCCTCGGTGGACCTCCCAGGTTTGGCCCATTCCAGGGTGTTTTGGCATGGATCCTACTTCAATCATTCGACCTGATCTTGTTCCCGCGAACCATATCCGGCCCATGCCACTTGCCGCATCCTCAACTGCCCCCATAATTACCCCTTATTGATTAGGGGGTAATTATTAGAGGCTGCTAATGATGACCTGACGGCTCGAGGAAATCGTGTGGGAGAATGGACGGTTAGATCTAGGGGTCGGCGTTTCGAGATTCAAAAAGACAACCCATCGCTTTCCTGACTCCTCGGCTCTTGGGCTCATCTCGTCTTTATAAGCTCCATTGATTCTCCATCGATCCTCTTTACCGTCTCCATCTCACCTTTTTGCTGTTTGAATCCTCTCCGACGATCTCTTGCAAAAGATCTTCCTTCCAGTGGCTTTGCAATACTTCTCTGCCGTTTTCACTCTCTAAGGTTAGTTTCATTTGCATTTTTGTTTTGGAAGACTTCTTTCTCCTCCCCGTAATCCTCATTCATTCTCACCATGACAGTAGATCTAGACGTTCTTCGCATGAAACTTCACCTTCCTGACAATGTAGAAATTAGAAACTGCCCCCGAGAAGTGAATATTAGAACCGGTGCTGGCCTTCTTCCTAGCGAGGCCCTGTTTTCACTCCTCCATCTCAATCTCCTTAGATTTCCTTTACATCCTTTCTTTTGCTATGTTTTTAACAAGCTAAATCTCTCCCCTTTACAAGTAAACCCCAATTTCCTTAGGATTTTATCTGTTATGCTACTCTTGATTCGTGACAGAGGTCTGGATCTGGACCTCGTAGATCTTCTCCTCTATTACAAGGTCAGCAAGATCAGAACTGACGAACCATTTTACCACTTTTTCCCCATTGAGAAGAGGTCCATCTGCACGGACAAGATCAAATCAGAGAAGGGTTGGAGGAAAAACATTATTTGGGTTAGGGGAGCCTGGTTCTCTCCAGCTGTAGAGGATTTCCCTATCCCGAGCGCTTTCGGAGAGTGCTCTGTCTCTTTTTACAAGAAATATAAAAACCATAAGAGTGACTGTCCTTGCGAGATTTGCATTCCTCGTTTTTGTTCTTTCTTGTGCCATTCCTTAGGCATTCCTTGTGATGACTTGAGCTACAGTGTGTGCAGGGATAGGGATAACTACTTGAAGCGGTACGTTCTGACCAACGTTCCCTCTTACTCGGACCTTCTCACCTCAGATCATTTCCTCGATATCTCAGTCCTCGGCAAGACAATGAGCCAACTCCAGATCCCTTCCTTCGGCAAGAAGAAAACTGCCCCCAGGCCTGCTATCACCCCTGCATTAAATTCCTCACCGGCTTCAGCATCTTTCTCCGTTACCCTTTCTGATACCACTCCTTCCACCGATCCATCCGTGACGGCTGCTGACCCGGTCGCCAACACGGCGACTGCCAGTCCGAACGTTGTCCCCTCTGTCAACAATCCTCTTAGTTCTACTACCACTTTCGCACGGGAAAAAGCCAGAGGAAAAAGGTATCAGCCTGACAGTGCCCTCAGCACAGATGACGTTCCCTTGTCTCAGAGGGTTAGGCCCTCTGGGCCGAACGTGATATCCCTGGCGAGACCTCCTCAAGCTAGGCCCCCCACCCCTTCTGGGCATGCCTCCGCTTCAGGAATGGCGCCATGGAGCCCTCGCTTCATTCGAACAGACGGATCGTCTGTGAAACCGACCGATACCATGTTCAAAGATGGTCAGACCGCAATGGCTTACTACAGGAGTATGTGGACTCCCAAGGACATCGAGGTAGCCAAAGGTCTGTCCCAGAGGGAGGTGTTCAGCCGATTCCCCTTGTCTGTCATGGAGGTAACTTCTACCCCTTAGTCAATAAATCTTTACATACTCTTGACACTTATTTTCTTCTAACCATCTGCTCGGCTTAACCAGTTGTCCTGTATATCTCTACAGACCTTGTATGGGATAATGGCCATGCAGAAGCAAGTTGAGCATGTGAATGCCAAGGTCCGCACGCTTTCTGACAGCCTTAGTGCAGCGAATAAGGAGAACGATAATTTAGCTGCTCAGAAGACCGGGTTGATGGTTCAACTTGGTAAAACTGAAAAAGAGAGGGATTCGCTGAGGAAGAAGACTGACTCTCTTTAGGATGAGAAGAATGCTCTACAGCTTGAAAGGAGCGTCTGGCAGACCGAGCGGGAATCCCTTAGGGCTGAGAAGGAGGAACTGCTACGCCTTCTGAATGACGAGCAATCCGCTTGGATGGCCTTTGAGAAAAGGGCCTTGGATGAGCGCAATGCTTTACTTGATACCATCAGCAGGGTAAATGGTGGCATGCTAGCTCTGCATGCTCGGTTCTCCAGAGTTGGAGCCCTCAGATATGCTCAGGGGTTCCGAGAGGGTTACGCCAATCGCGTCCCGGATGAGGGTCAGACTGGCTCTACCCCTGATGATGTTGATAAGGACCTGGATATTGACCCTCCTGGTGTTTATACCGATCCAGACTCCACTGCTGCCGAGGGCATATTTGATGAATGTCAGGAGATTGCGTCTTCTCGGATCACTCCTACTCCTCCTGCCGCTCTGACTTTGGACATTCTTCCTGTGTCCACTTTGACTCCATCTTCCGTTACTGCTGAAGATAACCCTCAGCAGAATGATTCTTCCAACGCTGTTGAGGGTAGGATTCAACAGAACGATTCTGTCATTCACCTCGACTCTCCACCTCGTGAGGATGGCGACACCACCAACAATGAGGAGGTAGCCCAACATCATCAAGAGGCCGACGAGGCAAACGCCTCTTAGTTAGAACTTTTTTTTTTTTTTAAATGTACTAACTTTGGTATATTTGCCATCTTTACACCTCATTTTTTGTAACCCTCTGAACCTTATTAATGAGATGGCCGACTTCTGATCAAATTTTTTGTGTCAACTTCTTCTCTCTTTTTTTTTTTTTTTTTTTTGGGCAAGTGTTTGGCGTTCGGCTCATTGTGCCAACTGCCACTTACTTTGCTCAGGCGCCTGGCGTTCGGCTAGAATGCCACTTGCCACTTGGCCCTCTAATTTTCTTTAGCAAGTGTTTGGTGTTCGACTCATAGTGCTAGCTGCCACTTATTTGCTTAGGTGCCTGGCGCTTGGCTAGAATGCCACTTGCCACTTGGCTTTTTATTAGCAAGTGTTTGGCGTTCGGCTCATAGTGCCAGCTGCCACTTATTTGCTTAGGTGCCTGGCATTCGGCTAGAATGCCACTTGCCACTTGGCTTTTTATTAGCAAGTGTTTGGCGTTCGGCTCATAGTGCCAGCTGCCACTTATTTGCTTAGGTGCCTGGCGCTCGGCTAGAATGTCACTTGCCACTTGGCTTTTTATTAGCAAGTGTTTGGCGTTCGGCTCATAGTGCCAGCTGCCACTTATTTGCTTAGGTGCCTAGCGCTCGGCTAGAATGCCACTTGCCACTTGGCTTTTTATTAGCAAGTGTTTGGCGTTCGGCTCATAGTGCCAGCTGCCACTTACTTTGCTTAAGATTTTAAAAAGGAGTGCAATCTTTATAAATCTCAGAAACTTTTACATTCAACTGTTTTCAATTTAAAATAAACAAAATTCAGTACTGAATCTCAACTTTTATTGATAATACCTCTTCAGAGAAGTAGCATTCCAAGGCTTGTTAACCAGCCTTCCGGCCATGGTTTCTAAGGTATATGCGCCTTTTCCTATGGCCTCTACAATTCTGTATGGGCCTTCCCATGGTGGCATCATCTTTTTGACTATCCCCACCTTCTTTTTTAGAACCAGGTCACCTAGCCTAAAGTCTCTGTGCTTTACTTTCCTGTTATGGCTGTTCGCAAGCGTCTGCTGGTAAGAGGCGAGCCTCACCGCTGCTGCGTCTCTTTTTTCTTCCAGCAAATCGAGGTTAAACCTTAGCATATTGTCATTATGCTCACGGTTCCATGCCAAAGCTTCAAACAGTCGGAACTAAGTGCTCGACTGGTATAACTGCCTCGGTTCCATACGCCATGGTGAATGGGCTCTCTCCGGTCGGTCTTCTTGGGGTCGTTCTGTAGGCCCATAGGACGTTCGGCAGTTCATCTAACCACCTTCCTTTCCTTTCTTCTAGTTTCTTCTTGATACAAGTAAAGATTGTTCTGTTTGTAATTTCCGCTTGTCCATTGGCCTGTGAGTGACTTACTGCTGCCAGCTTTTGATTAATTCCATACTCCTCCAACAGCTCTCTTACTTGCTTACTGTCAAGGTTGGTACCATTATCCATGACGATTGACCTCGGAACACCAAACCGGCAAATAATATTACTCCAAATGAATCGTCTCACATGAGTTTGAGTAACGCTCGGGTACGGCTCTGCTTCCACCCACTTAGTAAAGTAGTCTGTAGCCAGTAACACATACTTGTTCTGAGCTCTGGCAGTTGGTAGAGGACCAACTACATCCATCCCCATTGTGCGAAAGGCCATGGTGTGGCCATTACATGCAAGTCTTCAAGCGGTTGGTGAATTAGTGGTCCGAACCTTTGGCACTTATCGCACCTTCTGGACAATTCTTCCGAATCTCGCGACATGTTTGGCCAGAAGTACCCTTGAGCCATTGCTTTGTGTGCTAATGATCTCCCCCCTGAGTGGTTTCCACATACACCTTCATGAATAGCTCGTAATATTTACCAAGCCTCTGTGGGGGTAACACACTTTAAGTACGGTCCGGAAAAAGATCTTCTGTATAACTGGTTATGCACTACGGCGTACTTTGCAGCATTCGCTTTGATTTTCCTAGCCTCATTTCTTTGTTCAGGCAGAGTACCATCTCGGATGTAAGTTATGATCGGATCAATCCAACTTGGCTCATATGGAATAACACTTACCAAGGATCCGAGCCTGAAGGTTCTTCGAAAATGGATGGCTGATTTAATATTCCCACTGGAACCACCCTTACCAATGTTTCTCCAGAACCCGAGGCGCTACATGCTAGCCTGTCGGCATCCTCGTTACACTCCCTCGGAATTTGAATGAATTCAATTTTTTCAAAGTTCTCCGCCTCCCGCATAACAGCAGAACGATATGCTTCCATCGTTTCATCCTTGGTTTCATACTCACCCCTCACCTGCCGAACGACTAACTGTGAGTCACTGAAAATATTCAAATTCCTGACCTTAAGTTCTTTGGCAAGCTTTATTCCTGCCAGTAACGCTTCATATTCTGCCTCATTGTTCGTGGCTGCGAATTCAAGCTGAAGCGCTTGGCTTAAGGCTGTACCTTCTGGCGTCTGCAGTTTGATCCCAATACCTGCACCCATCTGGTTTGAGGATCCATCAACGAAGAGTTTCCATAAGCACTTACAAAGATCCTCCTCCACGTCCTCTGAATCACATTCTAGTAAAAAATCTGCCACCGCCTGCCCTTTGACTGCTGTTCTAGGTTCGTATGTGATATCAAATGAGCTTAACTCTATAGCCCACTTCGTCATTCTTTCGGAGAGATCCGGTTTGTGCAGGATTATTCTGATAGGAAAAGTGGTTAGAACGATAATATGATGGGATTCAAAATAATGCCTGAGCTTTCTTTTCGCATACACTAGCGAGAGTATCACCCGCTCTGCCTTTGAATAACGTCTTTCAGCTTCAGTCATTGTCTTGCTAATATAGAACACTGGATATTGCTTCCCTTTTGCGTAGCGGACCAGAACGCCACTTGTCGCAATGCTGGACACTCCGAGATACAAAAATAACTTTTCGCCTGATTCTGGAGCTGACAGTACCGGAAGGTTCTGCATATATTTTTTCAGAGCAATTATCGCTAGGCGTTGTTCATATCCCCAAACCTACTTGCCGTGGCTCCGGATTGTGTCAAAAAATGGTTTGCATCGATCTGACAATTTGGAAATGAAACGGCTCAGTGCAGCGATCCGTCCCGTAAGTGTTTGCACTTCTTTGATTGTCGTCGGCTCGACATTCTTAGTCAGAGCATCTGCTTGGGCAGGGCTTGCCTCGATGCCTCTGAGATTAACCACGTGCCCTAGGAATTGGCCTGAACTTACACTGAACAAGCACTTGGTCGGATTGAGCTTCATTCCATATCGCCGCAAAACATCAAACACGTCTCGAAGATGCTGCACATGATCAGCTTTCTTCTTACTTTTGACCACCATATCATCAATGTAGGCCTCCACTGTCTTCCCTATTTGTTCCTTAAAAATCTTGCTGATAAGTCTTTGGTAAGTTGCCCCGGCGTTCTTTAGTCCGAACGGCATAACTTTGTAGCAATACGTCCCGCGTTCAGTAACGAAAGAAGTTTTTTCTTTATCAGCGGGGTCCATGGGGATCTGATTATAACCCGAATAAGCATCTAAAAAGGTCAAGCGTTCATATCCAGTAGTTGCATCCACCATCTGATCAATCTTTGGCAGCGGGAAGCTATCATTCGGACAAGCTTTGTTTAAATTGGTAAAATTAATGCATACGCGCCATTTCCCATTTTTCTTTTGCACAATGACCACATTTAATAGCCAGTCGGGGTAGTACACTTCTCTTACGAACCCCGCATCAAGCAGCTTATCAACTTCCTCGGCAATAATTCGGTTGCGCTCGGGGGTAAACCGTCGCTGCTTCTGCTTTATAGGTTTTGCACTGGGGTTAACGTTCAAGGAGTGACAGGATACTAAAGGATCGATCCCTGGCATGTCTAGGTGACTCCATGCGAACACATTTGCATTTTGAGACAAAAGATCAACTAATTCCTGCTTTTCTTCCTCAATGAGTCGCTCCCCTACTCTGGTTGTCCGTTCTGGTCGGAACTGATCGATCTGCACATCAAGCAGGGGTTCTTGAGTCAAGCCTACTGGTTCCTCCTTTCCATTCTGCTTAGAGGGAGGCTTCTGTAATTGTTATCTCGGACTTACTGAACGAATGGGAGCTTTCCCCTTTCCGGCATATTTCATCGTTACAGAGTAATATTCTTTTGCTGCAACTTGGTCTCCATGAATGTCAATCACTTTGGTTCCATCCGGTGCCAGGCATCTCATTATCTGATGCAGAGTGGAAGGAACACCTCGAACTCTGTGGATCTACCCTCTGCCCATCAGAAGATTGTAAGAGGGATGAATTTCAACAACTACAAAAGTTTCCATTAAAACCCTCTCGGCTGCATGTACCGCTACCTCCACCGTGCCGACGGGCTCCACTCGCTTTCCATCAAACCCTAATAGTGGATTCCCGGTGGATTTCAGCTGATCCTGGTTGATCTCGAGCCGATTGAATGTATCTCTTGGCATGATGTTCGCACTACTTCCAGGGTCAATCAGAACTCTGCGCACCAAGCATTTGGCCACTGTCAAACTTACGACCAGCGGGTCCTCATGAGGGATCTGAACACGCAACAAGTCTGTTGCGTCAAACTTTATCTGCGTTGATGCGCTCTGCTGGTGCAGAGTGTTTACACTGCCTATCCTTCTCTTCATCCGTGCTTGACGAAGGCGTGTTCGAAGCAGTTCATCTGATTCTTCAGCAGGTTCTGGCCGACCGTGAATTGCATTAATTACTCGAACTGGTTGCGTGTTGTGAGAATTCGACTTCTGATTCTTCTTCACATGCTCCATTGGTCGGTTCTGCTCCACCGCTGGTCTTTGAATATAGCTTGCGAATTCCCCTCTGGCTATCAGCATCTCTACCTGTCTCCTTAGGTTCTTGCATTCATTAGTCTGGTGGCCAAAATCAGAATGAAATGCACAGTGTTTAGACTGATCCCTCTGTTCGATAGGTTGTCTGGGTGGTAAAGGAGGTCGGAACTTATCTTTATTTTCTTGGTACAGTCTTGCTAGGGTAACTTTCAATGGAGTAATCAGCTCTTCCTCTCTAGGCCTCTTCTCGGATTTCCACGAGGAGCGTTGCGGTTGGACCTGTTTTTGCCTGATCTTTGCTTTGGTCTTTTCTTCCGTGGATATAACGGATGTCTTCTGAGCGTTTGCCGCCTCTTTTTCTTCCAAGCGCATAAATCCATCGGCTCTTTCATTAAGTTCATCCATAGTCCTCGGCGTGTTGACCACCAAGCTTGTGTGGAATGGGGTACCACGATTCATGGCCAGTATGAATGCTTGAACTGCCGTTGAAGGGTGACATTCAATAACCATGCTCTTGGTAAGGTTAAACCTGGTTAGGAAAGCCTGGAGACGCTCTTCAGCGTGTTGCTTCATTGTGAATAAGCTCAAAATATCTTTCGCTGGACGCTTGTTTCCATAATATTGGCTTATGAACCGATCGCACAGGCTTCGGAAACTATCCACCAAACCCCTCGGCAGGTTCTTGAACCAATTCAGAGCTGGTCCGGCCAGACTCGTACGAAAGCACTTGCACATCAAAGAATTATTCTCAGTGTTTAGAGCCATTTTCAGCTGGATGTGATACACATGATCGATCGGATCAGTCGTTCCGTCGAACAGAATGAAAATGGGCATGGAAAATTTCCTCGGACTCGGAGCATTCAGAATCTCATCGGTGAACGATGAATCCACTGTTCGAGCTGCTGAACGGAGTACTTCATTTTCCCTCTGGAACCCCGTGGCTGCTCACTGGTCTACTGATCTCCTCTCTGAGCTGTGATAGTCGAACATCGTCATGGAAGGCCGATAGGTCGGATCGAATGATCTATCCTCAACGAAGTCCTTGCGCTATGGAGGCATAGCTTTCTGATGAATCAACTCTGTTGCTTCACCTCGGTTGAGCGTTTCTTGATGTGGATCAAAAGTCATTGCTTCGTTTCACCTGATCTGCTCATGCCGTGGATCCATGTGAGTTGATCCTTCACGATCATCTATACGACGGAGATTTGGCGGCAAACCGTCTCGCCGGATTTCCTCGCGGTGAGGATTTACTAGATTGTTTCCAACCTCCTCACCGTGATGTGCTACATCGGTACGTGCACCTTCTTCTCCTACTGGGAGTGGTCGTGGAATTACTGGAGCTTCCTGATGCTATATTTCATTCCTTAGATCCGCATTTTCTCTCCGGAGAGCTTCGATCATGTTCATCAACTCATCAAGTTTCACTTGTTGGACGTTCTCAACCGTATTAGAGTTGTCACCCCCTATCATGATTCCGGATCGAAGCAAAGGCATGAATTACAAACTTCGAAATAGATCTAAGTGTTACCGATGCAAACTCAGCTAGATCTGGGCTTAACTTCACCGAATCGTGATCACTGTTTGCTAGATCTGAACTTTTCTAGCTTCAAACTCGTCGGATCTGACTGCAACTGAGCAAATCACAATTGCGTCATTCCAAAGCAAATGCCTCAGAATCCTCAATAAGCAAGAATTCTCTCGGAACAAACTACAATCTCACTGATCTGGATTCAACTTCCAGAAATCACACAGCGTATTCACAAACTCGATTGAACTAATATGGTACTGATCGGGCTCGAATTGATCTTCGTCCTCGGTTCCCACAGACGGCGCCAATTGAAGATACAAGAGTTCATTTCTTCTCTCTCTCTCTCTCTCTAGCGTTCTCCCCTCACTTTCCACCCTTCATGGTCTATTTATAGGCCATGACCTTTATTGCAGTTAACCAATTACATTGGGCCTATATTCGAAAGCTCTCTTCCTTCTGGGCTGGGTCTTGCAATGGGATTGACCTTCCTCGGTGGACCTCCCAGGTTCGGCCCATTCTAGGGTGCTTTGGCATGGATCCTACTTCAATCATTCGACCCGATCTTGTTCCCGCGAACCATATCCGGTCCATGCCACTTGCCGCATCCTCATCTCCCTTAATGCCAGTTGCAGACATTCCCAAACCTGCTGACCTGGATGTTGAATGCTCCGAGTAATTTTCTTCGGTCATCAGGGATTTTTTAAACAAAGCCATCAACAATCATACTAGTTTGATGTTCATCATCAATAATCTTTTTTCTTACTCTGACAAGATCATTACTGTTGGTCTGACTTCTTATCACCAGCTGGAATCTCCTAATTCAAATTTGAATCCCCCCCGCCCCCCGGGCCTCGGTTTACCTCATGGTAGGGATAAAGCTACTGGTACTCTTCAATCCTCAACTAACTTAGCATGGATTCCCATTTCTTTTTTTGTCACTTGTTACTATCTCCTACTAGATGTTAGGATGTTGAGGTACCTTCCGTACCTTCCACTTCCACTTTTGAAGTTGATCCTATTGCCTAAGATGTTGTAACCTTCCTCATTATGCTTGAAATAAAAGTAGTTTGCCTTTTCCTGATGGACAAAACAATCAAACCCGCCAAATTACCCATGAGCCCTCACATTCTTCACTGACCACCAACATATCACCTCTGCCAAATTCTTGGGTTGACAATGCCCAACAACCACCCCTATAACCTTCTTCTCATAAAATGGTCTTCGAATTCTTTAAACCCTTAAGGACTGATATTAGTTCCATTGTGGACCCTCCAAAGGAGGTGAAAGAATAAGGAAAATCTTTTTAGAGAGGGATTGTAGTTGGGCAGTTCACTAACAAAAAACCATCTTTCAGTCTTGTTCATTAAATAACAATGAAAATGTGTAAGAATAGAGGGTTGCAATAAGTTTATGCTGATGGCAGTAGGTTCTTCTACTTCAAATTTGCATATGAGCAGTTGGTTGACACCATTATTGCCTTTGGTTCTTTATTCATCTTTGGGTGAAATTTTAAAATTTCACTGCAATATTGGACTGCCAAGGGACTAAGTCATGTTGCTAGTTGGTGTCTTCTCGGGCGCCGCACAAAACAATGCACAAAACTTTGAGTTTGGAAATTAGTGTCAAGTGGGCACCATAATTTAAAATTATAAACCGCTTAACACCTATACTGTGTAGTATGAGTGAGAAGGGATCGTCCCAAGGGATTGAGGGGACGTACTAGGTTGAGGAATCAAGATTGGGGTTAGTAGGTCGAGTGATCAAAGTAGTGGTTGGTTGGTTGAATTAAACTATATGCAATTTAAACTAAAGTAAACAATAATGCAATAGAGAGAATAAAAGAGAGAGAGATCTTGGGGTTTAGAGATCACCACTAAGTATAGTTTTTCTGCACCTTTAATGAATGATTAATGAGAGAAAGAACATGTATTGCAACAAAGTATGTGTGTGTGGTTGTTCCAACAAGCATGGATGACAAATTAAGCATATATTGTCTAAACAACATGGTGGATATCACAACATATCAAACTAAGCCATTAATCATTTCTTTAAGCTCACAATCCAAACACATCACAAGGTTAGAGAAATATGTTACTTGCTTTCATAAGTATGGAACATCAACAACAAGCATGAATTGTCCTCCTATTTAACAACTATACTACAAATAAGCTAATGACATAAAATTAAACTAATTAAACTAAGGGAGAGGTACAATCTGACGACGGCCGTTCCTATACGCCAAAATAATGTAGTGAATGTGTGGTTCAAGAAAAGCCTTTTAGGTCAAATTTAAATTTATAAAAACCACTACCAACACTACTATTAACGTAACAAAAGTGAGTAGGGATCGTTCCAAGGGATTATACGTGTTGGAATTTAAATTCAACTCTAATGTACCAAATGATTGCAAAGAGAGAGATTGGTTGATTAAACTAAGATGCAAGGAAATTAAAATGTAATTAAAATAAACTAGTTAAAGATAGTGATTTAAGAGATATGAAGAGAGGTCTTAGGGTGTTGGAATCACTATTAAGCTCATGTAATTAACCACTTGCTTTTCATTAATGGGAAATACATTGTTGTGAATAAAATGCAACTACCAATTGTAATATTAAGCATGGATCATCAAATTCATGTATGAATTGTCTACCTAACCAACAAATAAACTAAGTGTAGAACAACCCATCAAATCTAAGCATGACCCATCAAATTAGTCACAATTGTAGCACACATCAATCTAGAGAATCATGGAATTTGCAATAATAAGCCATGGAATATCAAATCAAGTATAGATTTTCTACTTACCTAACTGCATGAATTAAATTGTAGTACAACCCATCAAGTATAAGAATAATCCATCAAATTAATTAACAAACCCATTCAATGAAAATCCATGCTTAGCCATCACTAAATTCTTAATTAATAACACATAGACATGCAACAAACATAGAGAATCTAGTGTAGAGATTAATTTCCAAATAATCACACATAAGACAGCATGTAATCAAATAGAGAATCAATAGAAAGAATTAATCCATATGAATCATGTAAAAAATAATTCCTAATTTAATCACACATAGACATGTAAATAAACTAGAGAATTAATAGGAAGAATTAAACCATAGAAATCATAGAAATATACCAAGATTCATTAAATTTACAAGACTAGAACACTAATCACAACAATATATATAAATCCCCAAAAATAGAAATACAAGGGTTTAGATTACACAAGACTTAGGGCTCATCCAAGCCCTAAGTGTAGATCTAGCTAATCATGGAGGAGGTAGATGTGGTCACGAAACCCTCAAGGCTAAGCTCCAAACATGGCTCCATCTTCTTCTTCCTTTTCTTCTTATTTGAAGTTCTAGAGATGGAGAGAGAGTGGATCTAGAGATGGGTCTTGAGATGTGCCTCCACTTCCCTTTTTTCTTCTAACCCTAATCTCTAACTTTACTAGAGAGAGAAATATAAATTACAATGTAAAAAATAAAATGATAAAAGCTTCTTTATAAAATGGGTCACTTCCCTTTATATAGAAGGTCCTTTTCTTAGTTACTAAGTTAGGAATATAGTTCCAAAAATATCTAATCCCGTACTATGTGGTAGGTGGGAGTTTTGGGCGCGCGCGGGAATAAGACAGCTCGCTGCCAGCAAAAGTTTGATTGATCAGACTTTTTCTTCGATCAATTAGAGAAAAGTTCGATCGATCCAACTTTTATTTTCGATCGATCCAACTTCGATCGATCTTAGAAAAAATTGGATCAATCTAACTTGATAGTTTTTCAGCATTAGCCTCATTTTGCTCCAAATTAGCTTCCTTTTGCTCTGGATCCTCACTAAGACTTAGCTTGACTCCAAAAAGGTTGTAAGAAGCCATTTTTAGCCCATTTTAATATTATTGACCTGAAATAGACAAAAACACAAATAAGTATTAAAACGGGAAAATAAGATAGATAAAGGTCCTAGAACACTCAAGCTTAAGGGGTTTAAAAGCGCACTTTTCAGCACTCATCAAAATCCATCAAGAAATGAGTATGAACCATTAAATAAACCACAAGAACATGCCATTAAACAATATATCTTGACAATCTCTAGATCTATAGCATCAATACACATAGACATGCATCAATAACACAAGAAATAGAGACAAATATATAAACATCTATTCTAGCATACATAGACATATGGATAGAATGAAATGATCAATTGGAAGCATTAAACCACATAAATCATTGAATAAACAAGATCTATATACATAAAAGTGTCAAGATATAAATCACAATACAAATCCCCTCAAAAATACATAAATCAAGAAGTAGAAAGCATGCTTAGGGCTAACTCTAGCCCCAAGAGGATGTCTAGCCACTCATAGATGATGTCCTCCAACCCTCAAGGGCAAGCTCCATGGAAGAAATCTACTCCTTGGTTGATGAAGAGTCTCCAATGGTGTCTCTAGCCTCCTCCTCTCCTTTGCTTCCTCACTAAGTATTATCTTCTCTAAGTAAATGTATATGTGTAAAAGTGGCTCATATTCCTTATATAGGTAGGTCAAAAATCACCCCACATGAGCTGGGCTCGTACACCAATATTCCTCTAATGATTGGATATGAGACAACTTTTCATGAGCTGGAATTTGGATTTTTCTCGGGATTTGGGAAGTTCGATCGATCGAACTTGAGTTGAGATCGATCGAACATAGCTGAGATCTATCGAATTGAATTTGGATCGATCCTCAATGGCAGCGCCTTTTTGGATAAAAACAAATCTGAGATATTTTGAAGATACTTTTGGGAAAAGGACAAAAGTGGTTGGTAGGGTAATACAGCTGGATAAGGTCTGACATGTGGATAAGGACAAGAAAGTTCGATTGATCAGAGAATGACGTTGGATCGATCGAACTTTTGGAATCTCTGAAGATGATATCATGGCCTGGATCTATCTTGAAGTGCTGAGATCGATGAAAGTTGGATCGATCGAACTTTTCTTGAGATCGATCGAAGTTGTTGAAATTCCACTTTTTGCTTCCTTTTGCTCTACTTTGCTTCTTTCTTTGATTCATCCCAAAATTGCTTCAATTATGCTCTGATTTGGCTGAGTTAGCTTATTTTGGGAATAAGTACCTGAAAATAGAAATAACACGAAATCAATACAAAACGGTAAAATAAGATAGATAAAGGTTCTAGAATACCTAAGCTTAAGGGATTTAAATACGCACTTTTCAGCGCTCATCACACCTCCAAACTTAAATATTGCTAGCCCCTAGCAATGAACTAGAAAGTAAAGGAATGAAATGAACAACTATACAACTATGAACTAGAAAGCAATAAATGGATAACGCCACTTTCGTAGGGAACACGATTACATTTAGCCTATGCAACAAGCCTTTTAAACCCCTAGGTTACCCCTAGTGGACGAGTAAAGTCTCGTGAGGGTTTCCAAAAATCATACCCACAAACATTAAGCTCATTCTTTCAAAAGAGGTACCAATATTGCAAACAAGCATTGGAAGAAAACTACCTCAAGTATGCGATGTTTCAAACATTTCTAGGCAATTTCCCAAAATCTCAACATCAAGCGAGCAAATATGGTCTTCCACACATCAAGAAAATGATCATGAAAATCAAATCAACACTAGAATCCTTTTTGAGTGGACCGGCATCAAATGTGTTGTTATCTTAGCCAACTAAATAATTAATCACATCATTACCCTCAAACTAGCACACAAATCTAGTATCGATCATCAAGACAAAAAGTGAACCTTTTATTAAAGCATTATTGTTTTAGGTGCGCTTATTCTTTTCACTCGATTTTTTTTTTTTTTTTTTAGGATCAAAGATGGAAGCATGGTGCAATGTGTTGATCTATTAAGCTTTCTAGCGATTCATGAGGTCGAGCATTAGGTCAATGACTCCCAAACCAGACGGCTTTAGGGCACTAGGTGTTCAAGCACCCTTATGGACTTACAAGCTCAAATCAACTAGACTACAAATCAAAACAACCTCCATCTAATCATTTCCCACTTTTTTTTTTTTTGAATTCAATTATTAGCCTAGAGTTTGGGTCCTCCACCTTTCGGCGCGAGAAGTTCAGTGCTTGATGAGGCTAGAATCCCGGCTACTTAGTGAAAAGGGGTTGTTATCCACCTTTATCACGATTGAAAGCTTTCAATGCACTACTAACTCAATTGGGATGTGACCAATTCAATAGTCAACAAAGCATGTACCCCACAAATGAATGCTAATGTGCGCCTGTGCTAGTGTAGAATCCTAGAGTGAATCTCAAAACAATCACAAAATCAGGATGATGTGGACCACAAGTGCAAGCATGATATCAATTTTTCAAAAAATTTACTCCTAAATGGCATCCACAAGGCATACAAGGAGTATTGGACTCTCAAGTCAAGCAATTTTTAAATTTTAAGCAATATAGTCCTCAAAAGATCAAAATCATCGCTAACATGGATTTCACATCTCAATCATGCATTTCAAGCTCAACTTTAAGTAGAATGCAACAAAGTCACCTTACCCCCAAACTTAAATCGCACATTATCCTCAATGTGCAATGAGAACAACGGAAAAGATAGAAAGAGTATATAGTGGCGGTGAAAGACATGAAGCTCGGCAGTGACCAAATTTGAAAGACGTCTCCCCCAAACTCGGAATCAACAACCTACTTGAATAACCATACTAGCTGAGGATGCAGCAAGTGGCATGGGCCGGATATAGTTCGCTGGAACGGGATCGGGTCGAACAATTGAAGTAGGGCCCATGCTAAAGCACCCCGGAATGGGCCGAACTTGGAGGATCCACCGAGGAAGATCAAGCCCTTTGGGAGATCAGGTCCAGAAGGAAGAAAACTTTTGAATATAGGCCCAATGTAATCAGTTAACAATAATAATTGTAATGGTCTATAAATAGACCATTACAGGTGGATAAGAGGGGGGAATTTTTTGGAAGAATTCTAAAGAGAGAGAGAGAAAGAAGAAGCGAATTCTTGCATCTTTAATTGGCGCCGTCAGTGGGAATCAAGGAAGAAGATCAATTCGAGCCCGATCAGTACCATATTAGTTCAATCGAGTTTATGAGTACACAGTGTGATTTCTAGAAGTTGAATCCAGATCAGTGAGATTGTAGTTTGTTCAGAGAGAATTCTTGCTTATTGTGGATTCTGAGGCATTTGCTTCGGAATGACGCAATTGTGATTTGCTCAATTGCAATCAGATCCGGTGAGTTCAAAGCTAGAAAAGTTCAGATCTAGCAAACAGTGATCACGATTCGGTGAAGTTAAGCCCAGATCTAACGGAGTTTGCACCGGTGACGCTTAGATCTGTTTCGGAGTTCGTAATTCATACCTTTGCTTCGATCCGGAATCATGATAGGGGGTGACAACTCCAATACGGTTGAGAACGTCCAGCAAGTGAAACTTGATGAGTTGATGAACATGATCGAAGCTCTCCGGAGAGAAAATGCGGATTTAAGGACTGAAATGCAGCGTCAAGAAGCTCCAGTAATTCCACGACCACTCCCAGTAGGAGAAGAAGGTGCACGTACCGATGCAGCACATCACGGTGAGGAGGTTGGAAACAATCTAGTAGATCCTCACCGCGAGGAAATCCGCCGAGACGGTTTGCCGCCAAATCTTCGTCGTATTGATGATCGTGAAGGATCAACACACATGGATCTACGGCGTGAGCAGATCAGGCGAAATGAAGCAATGACTTTTGATCCACATCAAAAAACGCTCAGCCGAGGTGAAGCAACAGAGTTGAATCGTCACAAAGCTATGCCTCCATGGCGCAAAGACTTTGTTGAGGACAGGTCATTCGATCCGACCTATCGGCCTTCCATGACAACGTTCGACTATCACAGCTCAGAGAGGAGATCGGTAGACCAGAGAGCAACTGCGGGGTTCCAGAGGGAAAATGAAGCACTCCGTTCAGCAGCTCGAACGGTTGATTCACCGTTCACAGATGAGATTCTGAATGCTCTAAGTCCGAGGAAATTTTTCATGCCCGTTTTCATTCTGTTCGACGGAACGACCGATCTGATCGATCACGTGTATCACATCCAGTTGAAAATGGCTTTAAACACTGAGAATGACTCTTTGATGTGTAAGTGCTTTCCTACGAGTCTGGCCGGACCAGCTCTGAATTGGTTTAAGAACCTGCCGAGGGGTTCAGTGGATAGTTTCCGAAGCTTGTGTGATCGGTTTATAAGCCAATACTATGGAAACAAGCGTCCAGCGAAAGATATTTCGAGCCTATTCATAATGAAGCAACATGCTGATGAGTGTCTCCAGGCTTTCCTAACCAGGTTTAACCTTACCAAGAGCATAGTTATTGAATGTCACCCTTCAACGGCTGTTCAAGCATTCATACTGGCCATGAACCATGGCACCCCATTCCACACAAGCTTGGTGGTGAACACGCCGAAGACTATGGATGAACTTAACGAAAGAGCCGATGGATTTGTGTGCTTGGAAGAAGAAGAGGCGACAAACGCTCGGAAGACATCCGTCATATCCACGGAAGAAAAGACCAAAGCAAAGATCAGGCAAAAACAGGTTCAGCCGCAACGCTCCTCGTGGAAATCCGAGAAGAGGCCCAGAGAGGAAGAGCTGGTTACTCCATTGAAAGTTACCCTGGCAAGACTGTACCAAGAAAATAAAGATAATTTCTGACCTCCATTACCAATCAGATAACCTCTCGAACAGAGGGATCAGTCTAAGCACTGTGCATTTCATTCTGATTTTGGCCACCAGACTAACGAATGCAGGAACCTAAGGAGACAGGTAGAGATGCTGATAGCCAGAGAGGAGTTTGCAAGTTATATTCAAGGACCAGCGGTGGAACAGAACCGACCAATGGAGCACGTGAAGAAGAATCAGAAGTCGAATTCTCACAACACGCAACCAGTTCGAGTAATCAATGCAATTCACGATCGGCCAGAACCTGCCGAGGTGTCAGATGAACTGCTTCGAACACGCCTTCGCCAGGCACGGATGAAGAGAAGGATAGGCAGTGTAAACACTCTGCACTAACATAGTGCATCAACGCAGATAAAGTTTGACGTAACAGACTTGTTGCGTGTTCAGATCCCTCATGAGGACCCGCTGGTCGTAAGTTTGACAGTGGCCAAATGTTTGGTGCGCAGAGTTCTAATTGACCCTAGAAGTAGTGCGAACATCATGCCAAGAGATACATTCGATCGACTCGAGATCAAACAGGATCGGCTGATATCCACCGGGAATCCACTACTAGGGTTTGATGGAAAGCGAGTAGAGCCCGTCGGTACGGTGGAGGTAGCGGTGCATGTTGCCGAGAGGGTTTTGATGGAAACCTTTGTGGTTGTTGAAATTCATCCCTCTTACAATCTTCTGATGGGCAGAGGATGGATCCACAGAGTTCAAGGTGTTCCTTCCACTCTGCATCAAGTAATGAGATGCCTGGGGCCAGACGGAACCAAAGTGATTGATATTCATGGAGACCAGGTTGCAGCTAAAGAATGTTATTCTGTAACACTGAAACATGCCGAAAAGGGGAAAGCTCTAATTCGTTCAGCAAGTCCGAGATAGTAATTACAGGAGCCTCCCTCCAAGCAGAGTGGGGAGGAGGAGCCAGTAGGCTAGACTGAAGAACCCCTGTTTGATGTGCAGATCGATCAGTTCCGACCGGAACGAACAACCAGAGTGGGGGAACGACTCGTTGAGGAGGAAAAGCAGGAATTAGTTGATTTTTTGTCTCAAAACGCAGATGTGTTTGCATGGAGTCACCTAGACATGCCAGGGATCGATCCTTCTGTATCTTGTCACTCCTTGAACGTTAACCCCAATGCAAAACCTATAAAGCAGAAACAGCGACGGTTTACCCCCGAGCGCAACAGAATTATTGCCGAGGAGGTTGACAAGCTGCTTGACGCGGGGTTTGTTAGAGAAGTGTACTACCCTGACTAGTTATCGAATGTGGTCGTTGTGCAGAAGAAAAATAGGAAATGGCGCGTATGCATTGATTTTACCAATTTAAACAAAGCCTGTCCGAAGGATAGCTTCCCGCTGCCAAAGATTGATCAGATGGTGGATGCAACTACTGGATATGAACGCTTGACCTTTTTAGATGCTTATTCAGGTTATAATCAGATCCCCATGGACCCCGTTGATGAAGAAAAAACTTCTTTCGTTACCGAACGCGGGACGTATTGCTACAAAGTTATGCCATTCGGCTGAAGAACGCCGGAGCAACTTACCAAAGACTTATTAGCAAAATTTTTAAGGAACAAATAGGGAAGACAGTGGAAGCTTACATTGATGATATGGTGGTAAAAAGTAAGAAGAAAGCTGATCATGTGAAGCATCTGCGAGACGTGTTTGATGTGTTGAGGCGATATGGAATGAAGCTCAATCCGACCAAGTGCTCATTCGGTGTAAGTTCAGGCCAATTCCTAGGGCACGTGGTTAATCTCAGAGGCATCGAGGCAAGCCTTGCCCAAGCAGATGGTCTGACTAAGAATGCCGAGCCGACGACAGTCAAAGAAGTGCAAACACTTACGGGACGGATTGCTGCACTGAACCGGTTCATTTCCAAATTGTCAGATCGATGCAAACCATTTTTTAACACAATACGAAGCCACGGCAGGCAGGTTTGGGGGGATGAACAGCGCCTAGCATTAACTGCTCTGAAAAAGTATATGCAGAACCTTCCGGTACTGTCAGCTCCAGAATCGGGCGAAAAGCTATTTTTATATCTCAGAGTATCCAGCATCGCGACAAGTGGCGTTTTGATCCGCTACGCAGAAGGGAAGCAATATCCGGTGTTCTATGTTAGCAAAACAATGACTGAGGCCGAAAGACATTATTCAAAGGCAGAGCGGGTGATACTCTCGCTAGTGCATGCGAAAAGAAAGCTCAGGCATTATTTTGAATCACATCCTATCATCGTTCTAACCACTTTCCCTATCAGAATAATCCTGCACAAACCAGATCTCTTAGGAAGAATGACGAAGTGGGCTATAGAGTTAAGCTCATTTGATATCACATACGAACCTAGAACAGCAGACAAAGGGCAAGCGGTGGCAGATTTTTTACTAGAATGTGATTTAGAGGACGTGGAGGAGGATCTTTGTGGTTGCTTATGGAAACTCTTCGTGATGGATCCTCAAATCAGATGGGTGCAGGCATTGGGATCAAACTGCAGACGCCAGAAGGTACAGCCTTAAGCCAAGCGCTTCGGCTTGAATTCGGAGCCACGAACAATGAGGCAGAGTATGAAGCGTTGTTGGCAGGAATTAAGCTTGCCAAGGAGCTTAAGGTCAGGAATTTGAATGTTTTCAGTGACTCACAGTTAATTGTTCGGCAGGTGAGGGGTGAGTATGAAACCAAGGATGAAACGATGGAAGCATATCGTTCTGCTGTTGTGCGGGAGGCCAAGAACTTTGAAAAAATTGAATTCATTCAAATTCCAAGGGAGTATAACGAAGATGCCGACCGGCTAGCATGTAGTGCCTCGGGTTCTGGAGAAACATTAGCAAGGGTGATTCCAGTGGGAATATTAAACCAGCCATCCATTTTCGAAGAACCTTCAGGCTCGGATCCTTGGCAAGTGAATGTTATTCATATGAGCCAAATTGGATTGATCCGATCATAACTTACATCCGAGATGGTACTCTGCCTGAGCAAAGAGATAAGGCTAGGAAAATCAAAGCGAATGCTGCGAAGTACGCCGTAGTGCATAACCAGTTGTACCGAAGATCTTTTTCCGGACCGTACTTAAAATGTGTTACCCCACAGAGGCTCGGCAAATACTACGAGCTATTCATGAAGGTGTAAATGGAAACCACTCAGGGGGGAGATTTTTAGCGCACAAAGCAATGGCGCAAGGGTATTTCTGGCCGAACATGTCGCGAGACTCGGAAGAATTGTCCAGAAGGTGCGATAAGTGCCAAAGGTTCGGACCACTGATTCACCAACCACCTGAAGACTTGCACGTAATGGCCACACCATGGCCTTTCGCACAGTGGGGGATGGATGTAGTCGGTCCTCTACCAACTGCCAGAGCTCAGAACAAGTATGTGCTGCTGGCTACAGATTACTTTACTAAGTGGGTGGAAACAGAGTGTGATACCCCCGGATTTCCGGATGCGGGTTGGCTAGGCCCACGCCCGACTACCCGAGGATATCAAACAAATTAGCAATAAACGAACACAGAATACAATTAAGGAAATAGGAATAAATAAAAATTTGCTGAAAAGAAACTAGAATGATAAACCAAATACTGAAACCTCAGAATAAAATTAAATTAATAAAGAATTATTCTGATACATCCAAATTCTCCATTTCTAATACAACTCGAGAATCCATCTGGTGGACCCCTAATAAAATCATCATTGAGAAATGAACCACCGAAAAAGAATCCAATGCTAAACCATACAGGAACCGCCTACGTTGTCGGAAGAATGAGAAGTCGTTTCTACTCAGCACGAACAAGATCTAAGACCTGGAACCGTTCGTTACCTGAAAAATAATAGTGGGTCAGGCCCACGAACAAGTTCTATCCGAACTACAATCCAAACAGAGACTCGATACGCAAATACATCATAGATGTCTCAACCATATCTATATAGTCCGTAAATAGATATATACATATAACCACACTACAGGACTCTCATTAGACTATGCTGAGGGTCTCAACCTGAATAGGAGGCAACATGCAAAAACGCACCTGAGTGGGCATGACTACCTAAGCCTAACAGGGTATACCTCAACCAACATAGCTAGCTATGCATCCTACTGCATATACGCTCCCTAACCGTCGACTATGAGACTCAAGCTCAGATCGCGGTACCATAATTATATATATAAAGTCTGATCCTATCCAACCATAAGAAATCCAGCTAGTCGTTCAGCTTGTTCAGCCGCACAGACTAACATAAATTAAGTGTATATACAACCCATCCAAATACAATGTTGAGCCGGTCAACTATTTGTCGCCAAAACACAACATATAATTAGGATTTAAATATTTTAATTAAATCCCTATCCTTCCTATTAACAGAAATTATAAACAACCATCCAATATGTCGTTCAACTATTTTAGTTGACAGGACATGAAACCATGTAGGATTTAACTGTTTTAGTTAATCCATTCCGTATGTCACCGTCCCATACCGGTACATACCATGCATATGATCCGTAAATGATGCATTAACTCAATCAGTACACCAAATAGAATCCACATAAATCCATGTAGCTGATAAAACAAAATTGGAACAGTTTATCAACTAAATATGCATGAAATTGACGAGACAAAACTTAATCGTTCGTCAACTTAAAATCCAAAATCCATTCATATAATTGACAAAAAATATGCAGTTAATTCTTCAATTAAGTCCAGGTTAACTCCCATGTAAATTACAAAACCTATGTTTTAGTTTAGCAATTTAAGTCCAAAACCATCATCCAGTTGAAAACCATCATCCAATTAATTGCAGAATAGTGTATCTAATAATTCAACAATTTAAAGTAAACCTTTTACTCATGTAAGTGCAGGAAAATTAATGTTTCAGCAATATAAAAATCCAAAGTATGCACAGGTCTAATCTGTTAACTAAAAGACTCTATTGTGCATCTAAAACAAAAATTAGAAACATGTTATAATTCATTAAATTGCCATATTAGAGCAAGCAAGTAATTTCCTATCCTTAATCTACGTAATTGCAGAACGGATTTATTAATTCAGCAATTATATTCCCGAGTGTGCACAGATCAAATTTATTAAGTAAATGACCCTAACGTGCATTTAAAACAAGATTAACATCATGTTATAATTACTTAAGTTGCCCATTTAAAAATTGAACAACTGCTTCCCTTCCAACCGTTAACAGTATGTAAATTGTCTAAATTTCACACTGATCATTCCCTTCCTACAATAGGCTAACTTATGCAATTAGAGAGCTTAAGATCTCTTGAAATTACTTTTAAAATTGTTAGTTCACTCCCTAAAACAATTTAGAACTCCAAACATAGCTCAAACAGTTCACGGACAGCTCTAGATTGCAACCAAATGTAACCTAACCAAAGAGCCTTCTCTTGAAAATCATAGAGCAGGCTCTTTACACCATGGAGCCTACTCTATAAAAACTTAGAGCCTGTTCTAGAAACTTAGAGCCTGCTCCATAAAAACTTAGAGCCTCCTCTTAAAGGCTTAGAGCCTCCTCTGTCCAGTTTTGCTCCGTTTCGCCTTTCAGCTTCGTCTCCGGCTATTCCCAACCTTCGGTTCATCTTTAATACTGAGTTTAAAAATCCTATTTACACCCAAAATCATCCCCATGACTGGTTTTATAATCCGTTCAATCACTGAATTAAACTACGCAAGTTAACTTTCCTCTAACCATTAACAGTACTGAAAAGTTATCTAGTTTCCTACTGTTTAACACTTTAGCATAAATGTATAAACTATGCAATAAGCGGTTTAAATACACTTGAGGTTTAAATTAAGAACCCAAATGCCCTCACAACACAATTCGAAAGAATTAAAATCATCCAAACGGTGCCCAGAAAATCAGAAAACACTAAAATACGTCAAAATAGGAGAGAGCCTGCTCTAAAATGCAAGAGCAGGCTCTTGCAAGCATGGAGCCGGCTCTATGCCTTCTTGGAGCCGGCTCTTGAATGATGGGAGCCGGCTCTTCAATCCCCAGAGCCGGCTCTTCATCCCTCTGAGCCTCTGTTCTCCTCCAACTATGTTTTTTCGACCATCTGCTTTAGCACCGGCCACTTCCACTCCCTTTGTTGGTTTTTAAAATTGTTCCTAGGAGTCCTAAGTATATGTAAAACCATCTCAAATCCTTACTTAAGTCAATTTGCATCAAATTAAAACTTAAAACATTTATCGATCCAACATGCTTAGAAAGAGCAAGTACTGCAACCAAACCAAACTTGCATGAACTGTAACAAAATTA